AGGGTGTATGCTGACAAGAGACAGGGGCAAAATGAACAAACGTAACTAGACCTTGGTGGTAAGGATTCAGTGATGGTGTGGACCTTGCAGAAGAGAATAAAGTTAGGGATGGGGTTATCAAGAGTCAACATAGGACAGTTGAAACAGAATTCAAGTGGGGTTATGATGTAGGGCACACTTACCTTGAATCCTGACTTTGCTACTTGTAAGCTCAGACAAAATACTCAATCTCTCTGACCATCTGTTTCCTCTTCTGTAAAACTACGTCTACTTCAAGCACAGACAAAGCTATGTGAGGTCATAAGCACCTGTTCAATTGCTTGATACAACACAGGAAATGGAGACAAGTTAGTCCCTTTTTATTCCTTCTGGAAATCAGAGTGGGAAGAAGATGCCTAATTTCCATGACAGCCCTTACCATCCTCTCCCCCGCATCCAGGGACACACCCTGTTTGAAGCTGACTTCTCTCTGCTGGATGGGATCAAGGCCAATGTTATTCTGTGTAGCCAGCAGCACCTGGCAGCTCCCCTGGTGATGCTGAAGCTGCAGCCTGATGGGAAACTCTTGCCCATGGCCATCCAGGTGAGGGCATCCAGGACTGTGGCCCCCAGGGCTTGGGCCTCTTACCGCAGCTCTTCAGCCCCAAATCCACTCTGTGCAAGGATCGAGTGCTCTGGAGCTGGGGGAGGCATGAAGGGATGAAGTGGACAAAGCCTTCCACTTTCAGGGCTTTGCAGCTGAGCTAGAGAGCTAGACTAGACAAGGCTGATTAACCTGCTGGCATGGAGGAAGTCTCTGAGGACAGATAATCAGGGAAGGATCACGGAGAGGAGGTGATCATGAAGGAGACTTGGGGCAGGTCAGGACTAAGACAAGCAGGAAGGAGAGGGAGTGACCCCCCTACCCCCACCAGGAGAAGATGGACTGGGTTGAGAAGCTGAGATGATACTGAGGGTGGTCAGTCAGGAAAGTCCCAGTGGACAGCTGAAGTGGATCAGTGGGGAAGAACGTGAGGTGAGAGGTAGCCCCACTGTGGCAGATGGACCAAGGTAAGGAGTCTGGACAAGGGAAGCCGGTGAAGGCCGTTGCCAAAGTTGCTTTAGGCACATTACTGTTCAGAATGCTCTGGACAAGGAAGATACTAGATACAGGAATCAGGGGAGGATATTCCAGTAACTGCTCCAGACAGAGGTGAGATGGGGCTCAGATGGAGACAGTGGTGGCAGGAGTGATTGAATTGACCTGGATTCACGGGGACATGAAAAGGAGGAGCCAGGCTTGGAGGAAGCAAAAATAGGACACAGAGGAAGAGAGAGAGAGAGAGATGCTGAGGTGTGTCTCCGTCTCGCTAATATTGAGATACTAGGGACCAATGGTAATACCCAGCAGACAACTGAGAGCTGGGGACTCTGCAGAGAGGTGGTGCTAAAAATCAAAGAGGCTGGGATTTCTGAAAAAATGTGTGTGATGGAGGCCAATGGATGTACAAATGTTACATTTGTTACACAATTGATGTATGTATGGATTGTGATATGAGTTGTATGAGCTCTAATAAAATGATATAAAAAACACTAAAAAAAAAAAGAAAGAGAGCTATAATCCCCTCCTGCCCCCCCACCAAATGTGTGGGATGAAGGAAGCGCAGGGTTTGGATCTTATCCACACAGAAGGGACAAGAGGAAGAGGAAGTAGAGTCAGGAGAAGGCGGAGGAAGAACTGCTTCTCAGAAGGCTGAGGGCAGAGACAAGGGCAATGTCAGCACCCTGAATGGATGGCAAGGGAAGCACATAGGGAGTAGCTGTAGGTGGGGGTAGGTGGGGGGGTTAAGAAGGTAGCTTCAATACAATGGAGCAGACCAAGCAGCTTTGGAGGAAGAAGGGAGAGGTGGAACCTGCAAGTCGAGGAACCCGTTGGGGTCTGCACTCATTCCTGCCTTCCTGATACTCTTTCTTCGGCTCCAGCTCCAGCTGCCAAGCTCAGGATCTCCCCATCCACCACTCTTCCTGCCCACAGACCCCCCAATGGTCTGGCTCCTGGCCAAATGCTGGGTCCGGAGCGCAGACTTCCAGCTTCATGAGCTACAGTCTCATCTTCTGAGGGGACACTTGATGGCTGAGGTGTTTGCTGTGGCCACCATGAGGTGCCTGCCATCGGTCCATCCTATCTTCAAGGTACCAACCACCTTCTCCCTGGCTCTCCTGTCTGTCCTTTCTCTGCCCCAGGACGCCTTCCACCTCTGGAGTACCCTCTCTGGGCAACTCCCTGGGGCCTGGACTGGGGCCCAGATGGGGGCAGGGAGAGGCAAGTAGGGGAAGATAGGACAGTAAGGCACTAGAACAGGGCTCTCTGCCTTCTCAACAGAGCTATAGCATTTTCCCAGGAGCTGAACATGTTTCTTGAGGGAAAGGGTTAAAAAGAAAGTCTTCCTCTTTTTCATGTCTAAAGCATAGGGTATATGGAAATCCCTGGGTGGTACAAGCAGTCAAAGCATTTGCTGTTAACAGGGAGGTTGGAGATTTGAGTCTACCTACAGGTGCCTCCGAAGAAAGAACTGATGATCTACCCCCAACAAACCAGTCATTGAGGAACCGAGAGCATAGTTCTTCTCTGACATACGTGAGGAGAGCAAGGGGATTCCATGCCCTCAACAGACAGTACTTGCTATTTCCAAGTCAGTCTTTGAAAAGTTCTAAGGACACCTAGGCCGATTTCAGAAACCCAGGCTAACAGCAGTAACCTGCTTTGGCATAATTAGAACTGACGAATCATCCATTAAAGACAGGCAAAGCCCCATTCTTTAGAATATTCAATGCAGTGGGCCAATGAGGACAGCATATAACTTGTCAGCCGAGACCAGTTCAGCGCAGACAATTCAAACACGGTGATAAGGCTGGGGAGCGGCTGGATGGTGAACGTAGATAGTGTGGTCTCACTCCTCCGATGAGATGGCACCGAGCTGGAGGTCACAAGGAGCCAGCATGAGCTGATCCAGAGGCCCAGTAGGTCAGAGAGAGGGAAGAGCTAATGTAAAGCTCCTGAATGCCTGGACAAGTGTGAAGAACAGAAAGAAGGCAAAAGTAAATGAAGGGTAGATGCAAGAGAGATGAGGGGCGTCAGCAAGGGCCAACCCACGCGTTCTCAACAGAGTGATATCACTTCCTGAGCAAAACGATTCTTGGTAGAAGACACAAAAAGTCTTGCTCTTTATATGTCTAAAGTAAAGGGACGTGTTCAGAACACACACACATCTGTATATATAGTGTTCAGCATATAAAAATGTATCTGTGGTGTTAAAATTTCATGGTGGGAAGGATAATTAGTAAAAAGTATTAAAAAGTGCCGTCAACCACTTGCCCTTAAGCTGACTGTAATGCATGGTGAACCCATGGCTGTCCCAGTGGGACCATGCTTCACAGGGTTCCCAGTGGCGAGTTTCAAGGTCCTTCCTGTGAGCAGCCATGTGTCTTCTTAACAGCTTCTCCCATTCAGGGGAGTGATCATGAAAAACAGGGTTGGAAAAACACCGAGCTAGCCTTTGAGCAGCTCCAATAAAAAGCAGGAAACACCGCTTCCAATGATCATGAAGCAGTGAATCAATGGTCCTTGGGACTGATTAGGATATGCCAGTCGATTGTAAACTCTCGGTGTGGATCTTGAGAGGCTGTCTTTTCCCTAAAGAATGGGAGCCTTTGTTACTGCAACCCTCTTTCCTGCAGGGCCCTCAGCACTCTCTGACGTTGCTCTTCCCCCCACCCCCTTGCCCCCTGTGTCCCCCCTCCCTACCTCCCTGCCTCTCTCCCTCTAGCTTATGCTTCCCCACCTGCGGTACACCATGGAAATTAACCTCCGGGCCAGGACCGGGCTGGTCTCTGACTTAGGAGTTTTTGATCAGGTATGGTGAGAGAAATGGTAATGCAGGGGTTCCTTCTCCCTCCTGCCCACCCAGTCACTGACCTTGCACATCCTGGCTCCTCAGGTGGTGGGCACAGGTGGAGGGGGCCACGTGCAGCTGCTCCAGAGAGCTGGATCCTTCCTAACCTACCGATCATTTTGTCCCCCTGATGACCTGGCTGACCGGGGGCTCCTGGGA